GGTGGGGATACCAGCTGTGCCATCAAACCTGAGCGCTGCTTTCAAAGCGCAGGGCTCTATTGCACAACCAGAAATTGCCGTGCTCGCACCAGAGCCATCGTCCCACCAGACCTCCCGCAAAGGCAGCACTGTTAAACACCGTTACAGCGCCCGGGACGGGGAACACCAGAAACAAATCGCAGAAGCAGGAGTGAGATTTCTGATTTGAGGTTGTGTTAAAACAAACAAAAGAACCTTATCTCACTGGGCCTTAGGACAGGCTAAAACCTCACAGTGCTTCCCCATTTAATAAAACCAAGAAAGGGAAGCAGTCAGAAATAAGTACCGAGGACTTGTATGTCCTCAGCAGTTTTTGAAGTGGTTTCTGCAGGGCAGCTGGAGTCACATCGCAGATCAGCTTGGCTATTCTCTGCAAAATAAGCCACAGATTTTCAATGAGCTGTCACTTCCTAAATCCCATTTCAGAAGTGATTCTGGCACTTGCATATATTTGCAAATTTGACACCCTGTGCTCTATTGCTCACCCGAGCTTTTCGTGTCACTGGAAGCCCTGTACTCGCAAGCGAGGCCAGGCTCCTGTCTCCTGTGCTCCAAGGCATTGCCATCTCGTCGTGCTTTAGCCAGCCACAATTTTTAACCATCTTAACCAGTTAAGATGCTCTCAGCTGCCTAAGAGCTAGAGAGAAGTTGCAGGGCTTGATTTACAATTACAAAGTGTTTATAAATCTGATTTATTGTCTGATTTTAAAAAAATGGAGAAGAGAAACCACAAAAGACCTGATCCCACAAAGCTGCACCAACATCAGCAGTCTGTGTGTTGTTCAGGATTTTCGGGACAAGATCCTTTGTGTTTTAGGGGGAGAAACGGCTTGCAGCATGGCGAGTGCTCTTTACTTACGCCTTGGTAATGATGTTCCTGTGCACAACCACAGTCCTGGGCTGAAGAGCGCACAAATGACACCCACACGGGGAGCTGGGTAACAGCAGTGATGGTTAAGGGGAAATTTCTCTGGGGACACCAAGGTAAAGACGATGCCGTATTACTCTGCATCCCCCCCTCCAAAAAAAATAGGGCTGCAGCACTGAAGCTAATGAAGCTTGGCCTCCAGCGAGCCAGTCTCTCTTCATTAGAGGCAAACCTGTGATGCCCTCACTGGGGCCTCTCTTCCCTCTTGCCACTTAGTTTTATGGGACCTTCAGGAATGCAATTAGCGCCGAGACGTTTCCTCCTTTGTCAAACTGCCTGGCAGGCAGCCAAGGGGTTGCAAAGCCGCTGGGCCGCACAGCCAGCTGCCCCTTCCCGAGCCCGGCTGCGGGCAGGAGGGCTCTCTTCCCCTCTCCAGCAGCCACCCACATTTCAGAGTAGAGGCCAGAGCGGCATGCCAAAGGTCTCAATGCAAGAGGGCAACTTCTCCTTCCGGAGAAAAACTGGAAGCGAAGTGTTCAAGGCTTTGGGAAGCGACTGCCTGCTTTGTTGGAGCACGATGCTGTGGATAACCCATTTGCGTCTCTTTTGGAGGAACAGGGCACTTCTGCAAGCCATCCCCGATGGCCCTTCCAAAAGCTGGATTAACGGTTTGAAACAGCTACTCCGGAGCTGTTAACCGGACTCGGGGAGCAGCAGAACAAATGCCACTTATTAGTGACTAAGCAGCATCGACTAAGAGTTGGATGCAACTTGAATCAACATTTATGACGTGTTATAAATGACTCCTTTTCCCGCTTGCCTCACAGATGCAGGAGGCACGTTAAACCTCCCACTAACAGGAATCAAATTCTTGCTTCTCCTTCAGATTATCTCCCACCCAAGATCTGCTTCTCCACTTCACAGGGGGCCATGAAATGGCAGGATCTGTAGAAGTACTGCCTGCAGTCATCTCTCCTCTCAAACCCTGACAAAATGAGGTGCCAATATTTATAAATGGACCGAGAAATGAAAATGCTTTTACGGGCCAAAGGACTGAGTAGCATGAAACAAGAAGTTCAGTTTATTTCAGAGTATTTCAAACCTCCTGTGGCTTTTGCCAGGAGTACGGGATCTCTGAGCGCAATCTGCCGCCCAGCCCTGTGTCGTGGCAGTGACTCAACCAGGACACTGGATCGTAAAAGGAAGAAATGCCCAGGCTGGTTGGTGCTGGGCTCACGGTGACTCTGAGTTGAGGCATGCAAAAAGCACAGCCACGTGCATGCAAAGCAGTTTGCATGCGTGGATTTTTACTTCTCAGCTTGGAAAACTGTGCTTTCTTCCTTGTGCTCTCCCAGACCTCGGGTTGGGTTGGACTGGCTGCTCTCCCACCTGCCCTGGCCAGGATGGGCACTCAGAGCTTCATGATACCATCTTGTTCAACAGCTTGGGCAGGCGTAAATGCATTTAACGGGGGACACCACAGCCCATGTGCTAAAACTGAGGTTGGGTTCCTTTGGGGTGAAAACGCTGTTCAAGATACAGTCATCAGAAATGCACTGAGAGGCACTAAGTGCCTTCTACGCTACCAGAAGATTTATGCAGTATAAATAAAGCCCTTGACAACAGTGATGAGTTCCCCTCACGGGTCCAAGCCAAGCAACTCCCAAGCAAGGATGGAAACAACCACAATCTGCAGCAAAATGACAG